TCTCAGCACCACATATAAATATATAAAATAAAAAAAATAAAGCTCCATCAACATATAAAAATATTTTTAAAAAGGTGGATATTGCTTTTCAAGTTTTTATTTCTTGAATGACATTTGAGGAGCAAATTTGACATTTAACTGTAAGTCTTCATAAAAAGATATGAAGAATTCCCACCTAGGACTTTCTCCCTCACTCACTCTTTTCTAATTAAAGTTAAATTAACTGAAAATTAAATATGGCTCTTAAAGTTTAATGATTTGAATGCTGGTATATAAAATGATTCTACAAAGGTTTAAATTTTCTTGTAATCTCAACTGTTTTTCATGTTACCATTTACAATTTTGTAGATATTTGGTGGCAGAATGATGATGTAGTATTTTTCTTGAGGTTACCTTCCAAATACACTCTTAGTATTTCTTTTTTCCCCCCAGATATCTATAGTCCTATGTAGTCAATAATTTTTTGTACATAAAATGAACAGCTTTCCTAATAAAGTTACCATAGCACTTTCTTCTTGCAGTGTTACATATGCATTTCTACATCACTTGACTGATAGAATTTCAATATGTAAAACACATGAAGAAATTTTCAGTCTGTTTCCTTCTAGACTGCTTATTGGGATTTTAAATTGCATATTCCATCACAAACAGTAGATTCTAATGATGCTCCCTGTTTGGGCTGCTCACATCCATACCATGTTTAGATGAGACAGCAGTGCAAGTGCTCACATGATCATCTGTTGCATGCACATTCACGAATGCCATAAGTGGTATGGGTTTGGATGTTTGTCTACTTGACTATTCAGCCTTCCAAAAACAGTATAAAACTGAAGTGTAGCAGCAGATTCCAGTCAAATACTGAGAACAAGGTAGAACTCTGATTCTCCCCTGCTATCTCAAACTCAATCAATCCTTGGAAGAAGCCCCAAAATGTCAGTCATTGGAATTGTAGCCTGCCAACCTTCTTCCTGTCTGGAGACCAAATGCTGAATGTGGCATCAGCAAGAGTCTCAGCAAGGCCCACTCTGATACTAGGCAATACAAACCAAAGGGTTGCAGTCTTACCCTTATTTACCTATTGAGTTTCTCCAAAATCTTGGGTCTTACTGGTCTATGTGCCCAATAAGCAGATGAGGGCCTCATGGCTTAATTGAACTGCATGGCTTCCATTAGGAGGAATGAGACTTAGTGGGATTTTGGCAAGTGGCTCTCAGGCTTCAGAAGTATTCATCCTCCTGGTACAACAAAGCTTAAGTAGACTTGACCACTGAAGAATCTGGAATTCATGTAATAAAAGGCACTTAGGTTCTAATTCCCCTACTCGATTCATTTTCCAACTTCACAATCATTAATTAAAAGTTGAAACTTGAATAGAATTCCTTTTGCTTTTTTGATCCCGTGGTTTTTGTCTGCCACAAAATAGAAGTAGGTATTATGTACCATCAGCACAAAACATGAGAAAGAGAGTGGGAACCAAATTTGCCCCCAAATTTCTCAAAGCTGGTATATTTTTTCCTCCAAAAAGTTGGATGGTGGGTGATGTGTATTATTCAACTCAACAATTTCTTAGATGATTTCTCTGATGCTTTCTCTGATGATTTTATTGGGATTGCATCTTATTTTCTCATGCCTCTGTAGCAGCTTTCCTGTCTGAAATAACTTTCCTCCTCCATCATCCTGCCAGTTCCTCCCAGATTGCAAATCTCAGAGGAAACTTCCTTGAACTTTGGCTTAACGTCCTCTTTCCAAGCAACCACAAATACAGCCCTCATCTCCACTGAGCCTTCTTGAACACATGAGTCATACCTTGCCTGTTGGTCACTTTTCCTCTTTTTTAATAAATAAATGTTATTGCATATGTTTGAGGTTTACCACATGATATTATGGGATAGATAAAGTAAAGCAGTTACCATAATGAAGCGAGTTAGTGTATCTGTCATTCCATAGTTACTTTTATTTGTAGCAGGAATAGTTAAAATCTACATAAGAAAAATACTAACACATTATAATTTTGATACTGTAGTCCTCATATTGTATGTTAGATCTCTAAACTTGTTCATCTGCTATTTTTTTTTTTGGGGGGGGGTGTGGGTAGGTACCAGGGATTGAATCTGGGGGCACTTGGCCACTGAACCACATCCCCAGCCCTATTTTGTATTTTATTTAGAGACAGGGTCTCACTGAGTTGCTTAGGACTTCATTGTTGCTGAGGCTGGCTTTGAAATCGAGATCCTCCTAACTCAGCTTCCTGAGCCGCTGGGATTACAGGTGTGCGCTACCGCACCTGGCCACATCTGCTATTTTTTATTCTTTGAGCTACATTTCCCCAGTTTTTCCCTTTCTCTCCAACTCATGAAACTCACCAATTATCTCTCCATGATAATCACTGATTCATTCCTTCCACCCAGACTCCACATATACATGAGGTCATGCAATATTTGTCTGTGTTTGGCTTATTTTACTTAACATGATATCTTCAAGGTCCACCCATGTGGCACATTGCAAGTTCTCTTTCTTTTTTTAAGGCTAAATTATATTCCAATTTCTTTATTCATTCATCCATTGACAGGTATTTGGGTTGTTTCTGTATCTCAGCTATTGGGAACAATGCTGCAGCAAATGTAGGATATCTAGGTGAGGTGGTGATTTCATCTCCTTTGAGTGTATACCCAGAAGAGGGATTGCTGTGTTGTTTGTAGGTCTATTTTTAATTACTTAAGAAACCTCCATACTGGTTTCATTAATGGTTATGGTGGTCCACATTTCCCCTGACAGTGTACAAGAATTCCCTTTTCTCTATACTTTCTCTAACATATGCTATTTCTTGCTTTTTGGTGATAACTATCCTTGAAATATCTCAGTGGTTTTATTTTGCATTTTCCTGATGCTAAATCATATTAAGCACCTTCATGAGATATATTAGCCATTTTATGTCTTCTTTGGAGAAATATCTATTCAGTCCTTTGCCCATTTTTAAATTGGGTTATGGATTTTCCTCAATTTTAAGAGTTCTTTATAATTTTTTTGGTAATTTTTAATTTGTTCTTTTTAGTTATGCATGACAGTAGAGTGTATTTTGATGTGGAGTTACACTAGTTGTGTATTCATATACGAACATAGGAAAGTTATGCCATTTCATTCTACAATCTTTTCTACTCCCATTTCCCCTCCTTTCCTTTCATTCCCTTTGTTTAATCCAATAAACTTTTATTCTTTCCTCCCATCCCTTATTGTATGTTAGCATCTGCATATCAGAGGGAACATTCAGCCTTTGGGTTTTTGGGATTGGCTTTTTTCACTCAGCATGATAGCCTCCAGTTCCATCCATTTACCAGCAAATGACATAATTCCATTCTTCTTCATGGCTGAATAATATTCAATTTGAAATTTTAATCCTGTGTTAGATATGTGCTTTACAGATATTTTCCTCATTCTGTAGATTGCTTTTAATGTTGTTGATTATTTCCTTTGCTATGCAGAAGCTTTTGGGTTTGATGTAGTCCCATTTGTTTATTTTTGCTTTTGTAGCCTAACCTTGGTTGCCCACTTGGTAATCATGTTCTCTGAAGGCAGGTCTGATTTTTTTTTTAATATCCCCAGAACCTAGCACAGTGTTAGGCAAAACCTAAAAGTCATTCTTCCTTCTTACACTATGACTGTGATGGCTGCTGGTAGTACTAGCACTAGTGTGGATTTTGATGCTGCTGCTACTGCCAGTGTGGCTGCTGAGCTAGATTGGGCACCTTTCAGGCATGAGGAACAAGCATGCAGATTTTCACATTGTGGTCCATTTCGGCTACCCTCCAGAGATGAGCATGACAGAGATGGGGAGGCATTCTGGGTGAGAAAGAATTGGGAAATTTATAATAGAAAAACCTGTATTATGAATCTGCTGTAACTTTTGGATTAAAAAATATGTTTATGCATGTGATACTTTCCATTTTTTATTGAGTATTTAGTTTCACCCACTAAAGGAATGATTGCCCTGAGCATGGTGATAATGGAAGAAGAAATGTGAACTTGAGACCACATCATCTAGTACACATTTGATCAATAATTAAGAAAAGATTTATTAATCTAATGAACTTGAGCCAGTCTCTTATCCCTGTATTCGTAGTTTTTTTGTTTGTTTGTTTTGTTTTTTGAGGATGCAAAGAAGAAACAAACAAATGTGCAAGTGACTTGTAAGCTGTCAGGTACTATACAAAGTTAGATGTTATTATATGTCTGTGACAGAAATTTTCTTCTGAATCTCCTGTAGCACTTTGTGCTAAATGGCAAGTTTAGCTTGGTCTGGAAATGAGAGCTATAGCCTGGTTGAAGTAAAAAGACCTGGGAATGAAGCTATGTCCTACCTCTTTACTGGTTATATGACCCAAGATAAATTATTGAAAAAACAACATTCACGTGGTCCAGGTCCAGGGTTACCATGAAAATTAAGTGAAAAATATTTGTGAAGGCACCTGGTGCATGACAGGTATGTAGCCATTGATTCCTTACAGAGCATTCCTTCAGAGTGAAGACAGGGAGAGGTTCTGAGCAGGCAGCTCTTCTGCCCTTGTGGCCTGAGCAAGTCCTGAAAAACCCCCTCACTGAATTTGACCACCAGACCATTAAAGCAAGATACAGGCGAGCTCCTGCTGCAGCTGAATAGCTCAACGTTCAACAAAGTTGGCTCTCCAAGTCTTCTGAACCTGGCTGTTGGAATCAATCAATACAACTGTATGATTATTTATGCCTTGAGGCATATTTCAGCTGCACCTGAGAGTGGATGTTTTTTTCTTCAACTTTTTAAAACCTTTTTTAATGGTGAAATATTCCAGTCATGCCTTTCAATGGCTGGCAGAGTGAATTAATAGTAGTCTAATCACCGTGGAGACGCTGATGCCTCTGTGAGTTGGCACTGAGGCGAGGCTGCACGTCTCTGTGGGAGTGACAAGTGAATGAATCTGCTGCTCACTTAACCTGCTGTTCTTTTTCCTCTCTGTTTTCTCTCCTAGGAAACAAATGGAAGACTGCTGTGACCCCGCCCATCTCTTTGCTATGACTAAAATGAATTCCCCCATGGGGAAGAGCATGTGGTACGATGGGGAATTTTTATACTCATTCACCATTGACAACTCAACGTATTCTCTCTTTCCCCAGGTTAGTATAGAGGTGGGCTTTTTTTTTTTTCCTTCATTTTGACGGTTTCTCAAAATTCTTGATATCATAGGAAATTTTGCCTAACCCAATGGATATTCTTTTCATCTTCTCTGTCCTCATTTTAATTTTAAATGCTTTCCTTTCTGTTTGTTGTTTTCGTGTGTGTATGTCAAGACCTCTTGTTTTGACGCAAGGATGGTAGGAAGGTAGCATAGAGCAGTAGAGTTGCAGTGTTCCTAGCTCTTTAGATTTGAGTCAGACGAAACCAAAGGCAGTAAGCAGAGATTGGTCAGGGAATTGTGGAATTCTAGTGTTCTGAGGTTGGCCCTGGAATGGTCGTGAGGATTTGTGATACTGGAATGTTTTCTTAGGACTGATGTTGCTGGGAATGGGGACCATATGGTGAGATGTTTGTTCCTCAGAACTCTCAAACATTAACCCTGTGGTTAGATTACTGCTATGAAGTGGAGGAGTGGTGGGTATAGAGAAAAAGAATTCAATTTGACCACTTTTGAAGTGGTTTAAATCAAGCTTTGCTTACTTAATGTTTTTCTTCTTGGTTTCCTGAGCATTGAAATAAAATGCTTTACTAGAATATGTCTAGGCAGCAAGTGGGTGGGGGGAGCCGTGGGAAGTAAATCTGCATTTTAGGAAACCGTAGTTTCAGGGAGAGAGGATATTAGGGTGAAAATTACCACTAGGGAGAAATTGGGAATCCAATCTTGGCCTTCCCTAGTCCTCTAGTAACTCTTGGTTTGGTCAGATCCCACCAAAAGGATTAACAGTCAGGGTTGGAAAATGGGACTGACCTTTCATGGCTCTTTATAAATAAATAGCCAACGAGTCATGGAAGGAGGAATCATGTAAATTCAGGCACAGGTTCTACTTGTCACAATTCCTACAAAACAGTCACAGTCTATAAAAAAGCCCAAACTTCCTAGCTCATCCTTAGGTGTGTTAGTCTAATGGAATGGTTTTAGGGTGTGTGTAGTGATACCTTTTTAAAACTAGGAATTAGAAGGTTTGATTAATTGCTAGTATTTGTGTACTTTCTCTCTCTCCATTACTCACTTGAGGAAGTCTTGGGAGACTTCCTAATGTCAAAGGAAATGACTAAGAGTCATAAAATGTGGAATTGAATCTTGCCTGCACCACTTACTAATTAAATACCTTGGATAAATCACCTAACTCTTCTGAGAGTCAGCTCTCTTCATCTCTAAGATAGACAGAGCAGCACCTATTCTGTCTATTCATAGAGTGGTGGTGGGGACCAGTTCAGATAATGCTTGTCAATGTACTTTTGTAAACTACAAAGCATTATATAAATGTTGGTATTGATGCTGTGCTGGTTCATAAGGTACATCCTGAGCCTGAGGAATGAAGAGTAGGCTTATTTTTGTCAGGGTTTAGGCAAGGTTTGGAAATCTCCCTAGGTATTTTTGACAGAAAGATATTTCACATGAGGGATGAGGCTACTCAAAAAAAAAAAATCACTGGAAGAATGGAGAAGTAAAAAAAAAAAGAGAGAGAGAGAGAGAAAAGTAAAAAAAAAGAAAATGGAAAAGTAGGAGTCAAGAAGTGACTCCTAGAATAATTGAGTTCAAAAATTTGCTCCTGTATTCCCAGCAGCTTGGGAGGCTGAGGCAGGAAGATTGTGAGTTCAAAGGCAGCCTCAGCAACTTTGAGACACTAAGCAACTCAGTGAGACCCTGTCTCTAAATAAAATACAAAATATGGCTGGGGGTGTGGCTCAGTGGCCAAGTGCCCCTGAGTTCAATCCCCGGTGACCCCCCTTAAAAAAAGACAAAATTTGCTGCAATAACTGTGGTCTAGGAATTAGGATGCTCTAACCTGCCATTTCCATTACTATGGCCACAACTGCCTCTAAGGAAAACAGAGGGCTTCACTTCTCCTCCTCCTTCCAAATCTCCTTTAAGCGCATCTAATAGGTAAAGATTAATTTACATCCAAAATACTAGATGCATAGAGTCCTAAAGAGGCAGTTTTTGACTACCAAGCTTCAGCAGGAAGCTGGAAAGAGGATGTAATAGAATCTGAGCAAGCCAATCCACAGTATCTTCCATCTACAGAAACGGATAGCAACCAGCCATGGAATGAAGCAGAGATAAGAAAACGATCTTCTTTAACAAGGAGAAAAATGTTAAAAAGAATTTCAAAAGAGGCTCTCTATAAATGAGGGCTTTCAGTTATATCAACTGACTTTTAACTTTACACTAGAAAATAGGCTTGACGAAAAGAAATGATTAAAGACATAGAAAGTAGCCTCCAATCTTATCTGTCAGTTGCAGCAGCAGCAGCAGCAGCAGCACGGTAGGAAACATTTCCTTTTCAAAGTGTGTGCAAATGAATTCTGTGTCTCTCTTTGCCTGTTGCAAGACCAAAGAACCATCCCTGAATAATAAAGGAAAATGCTTTTTATCCTTAGGAACCAGGAGTCATTACATCATTCTGCATGTGCACAGTCATTACAAGAGGCTAAACCAATTCAATGCATAGATTTTTTTTTAAGTTACGTGTGTATTTTTCTGCTGAGATCTTGAAATGATCAATTTTTAGAAATTCTGGAAAAGCAATTGCATCACAAAAATGATGAAGTATTTCTCTGTGCCCTCATTCATTATTATTTGTTAGTGGAATGCTTTTAAGTTTGTTAAAAATAAACCAAGTTTCCAGCTGATTGATATATTTCATTCATATTCCCTGTGGGAAGAAAAGAGAGTGTGCAGATTCCACAGAAATCAGGTGAATGGGTGAGGTGTAGTGTTGTGGGTGTGAACAAAGCGTCCTCCCCTTTCCTAAATTTCAGCAAAATAATTCCAGGTCCTTCATTCTACAACTGAGATTATGAACCAGTGCCTTGGGCTTCCCCATTAAGTGTCCAACACATGTCAGCCATTGTTATTGTTGTTATTCTTTAGCATACTTTCACCCATCATTATTGTCGTTGTTGTTATTGCCAGGATGAAATAGAAGAAGAAAGGTGCTCTGTACATGGTGGAATGTAAACAGGTCCTGCTCAGGGCTGTATATCCTCAGGAGGCTCCAGGGTACTTTGAGGTGTCACACTGAAGTGCTGTTATTACAAGTAGTTAATTGCTTCTTGTTTGGACCCTCTGCAGCTTCCTATAGCTTCATTATTAAATTTTTGTATGTATTACATTTTTTTTGGAAGTCTTTCTCTGCTGATCCCAGTACCACCTTGTGAGCCTTTGAGGAACAGGTTTTTCATTTTGGGGCCAGTGCAGTGCTGCCCACTTAATAGCAGTATTCATTTCCATCCACTCATCTTTGCCAAGGGTTCCCTGTCTAGGTCCCATTTGGGTTGGAACACTGCAGTGTATTTGCATGAGTATAGGAGACTAAGCTGGAGTTTTTGAATGCAGCTGTATCAAAAAATCTCTACCAATATATTTCAGTGAAATATTCGTTGGATATTATTAAGTATGAAGGGCCATTTTTAACTTTCACATAGAACTTTAAAAAGATGTGCTTTGTGTGTGTGTGTGTGTGTGTGCATGCAAGTGTGTATTTGGAGAGGACATTGTGATGAGGTGCTTTCACTTTGAGAGTACCACATCCCCTGGATTAGGGTTAGTTTTTTTCCTGTGTGGCCAAAGAATGTCCCTTTTAAGTCCACATGGTCCAGGGTTTGCAGGAATTATTGAATCAAGTCTATTTTGGCCTAAAATACATTGCTCAGGAAGTGCATGAGTTTCCTTGGAAATGAGCAAGGAATGTTAGAAACCACATCTGTGCTGATATAATCTGAAAAAAATATTCCTTTAGGTGTAGTAAAAAGATGGCTGGCTCACCATTCTCCAGCACTGTGCTGCCTAGTCATGTGATGGCTATCATAGACTGCACCAGTTATGTCTTCTCAGAATCCTCACCCAAGGGCCAAATATAAAGAATATCAGAACAGCCACTAATGCACACCTCAGTCACTCATTGCCAGCTACGCAGGTCGGCCACAGGGTCCCTGTCATGTTCCCCTTGGCCTGGCTCTGCCGCTTCCTTGGCCCACAGGAAATCCAGCAGGACATTTTGAAGTAGTTTCTCAAAGTGGCCTTGTTAAAATGAAAACATACATTTCCCTCTTTTCACAAATGTGCTTAGTAGAACTTTCTGAGCTCCTGGATATTTCTGAGTCTCCCAGCAATTTTTTTTCTCCTAGTGAAATTCGTATCATACTATATAATAACACTGTTATTGTAATCATTTTCCCAAACACATGCCTTTTCAACTGGAAGGAAACTAAGGGACTAATGTTGGGCGGCAGAGATCTTTGTCAGGCTTGTGTCAAGCGATGTCGTTAGGCTTGTTTTTGCTGCTTTTAACAGAAGGCTGAGGCTGGCGCAGGGATTTAACCACACAAGTGCTTATTTATCTCAAGCGATGTAAGGAATTAGCAGGTGGTTATTCAAGGTGGGATCTGGTTACACAGTGCCATCAGCTCCTAAACCCTTGTCTTTTGCTCATCCATCCTTAGCTGGTGACCAAGGAAATGTTCACTATGGATCCAGGATTCCTCAGGAAGAAGGAGGAAAAGGCTGAAGAGCAAATCCTGACAGAATGCTTTTTGTGTGTCATTGGTTGGGACAGTCACAGGGGCACTCCTAGCTGCAGGAGAGGCTAGGAAGTTTAGCATTTCAACTCTAGGGAAATGCATTGCATTTGCCAACCTACACTATCTGCCTCAGTTTCTTCACGTCATATCTCACTCTGTCTTAGAGCAACTCTGAGGTTATTGTTATTGTTTCCTCATGGATGAAATGAAGATGGAGAGGAGTGAGGTACCTAATTTCAGGTTCTAGAGCAGGTGGCTGGAAGAGCTGGGATGTGAAACCTGACCTGATTTCAGTGGTTCTTTTGATTATTGTCTTACTTATTTCTTTAAGTGATGTGCGTTCTATGGGCTTAGTTGTTCATTCTTATCACTCAGTCACTTGAAACCATTTTGTGGGTATTTTACTTCCCTT